ATGGCGGCAGGCCCGATAAGCTCCGCCCTTTCGGCTTCAACTTGGTTGGAACTGTTGAGCGGGCGACGCAACGTTAGGGCCTCTCCCTATATAGTTACTCCAAGACTACTACTACTACTACTACTACTACTACTACTACTACTACTACTACTACTACTACTATTATGTTGCCATAGCATACGTTAGATCAACGTATGTCCTACCAACTTGGGCGCCAGGCAAACACATGTCGATCTATGTTATCTCAGTTCTGTTATCTGCGCGGTACCAGATCCCGTCATTGTGGAAGACACACCGATGGAAAACCGCGCACAGGTCAAGATAATATGTGGGTGGCGAGGACCGGTGTGGAAGAGTGGGCCGACAGTGCCGTTGTGGAAGAGTGGACAGTGAAGTCCTGGAAGAGTGGACAGACAGTGGAAGAGTGGACAGAGACTAAAGTTGTGGAGGAGTGGACTGTGAAGTTGTGGAAGAGTGGACAGTCACTGGACAGACAGTACAGTTGTGGAAGAGTGGACAGTGAAGTTGTGGAAGAGTGGACAGACAGTGGAAGAGTGGACAGAAAGTGAAGATGTGGAAGAGTGGACTGACAGTGGGAGAGTGGACAGACAGTGGAAGAGTGGACAGATAGTACAGTTGTGGAAGAGTGGACAGACAGTGGAAGAGTGGACAGAAAGTGAAGATGTGGAAGAGTGGACTGACAGTGGGAGAGTGGACAGGGAGTGGAAGAGTGGACAGACAGTACAGTTATGACTACTGCTGCGTCGTGCACAGAGCTGGTGATTTCCCTAGCTTCTTGATGACGCATAAATTTTGTTCTGGTTATTCGTACTGTTCAGTCGGACCTATATGTCTCTAAAAAGGTTCAGTCTGATCTATGTGTCTCTAAAGTGATCAGTCTGACCCTTGTGTCAGACTAAGACAACTCAGGTAGGGTTTGGACGCCCAACAGGACAGTGAGCTGAAAAGACAATGAGTGCAGGAAAAATCCAATCTCTCTCTCTCTCTCTCTCTCTCTCTCTCTCTCTCTCTCTCTCTCTCTCTCTCCTCTCTCTCTCTCTCTCTCTCTCTCTCTCTCTCTCTCTCTCTCTCTCTCTCTCTCCCTCGCGGTTCATGTAGGTCTATTATTGTGTAATAATTAGTATGATAATTAGTCCTATTTCATCTTGTGTGCGCTTTTTTAAAATGTCTTTGCATGTTCAGAATAAGAGCAGTCGCCAACTCTTCATGATAAGTATGGCCCAGAGAGTATTTCACTCTATCTAAAACACAGTCGGGCTCAAGAACCGAAAGTGATGCCTTGTTCTTGAGCGAAATGAAATAAGACGTCATTTAGACTAACTGGGTCTAGTTTTGCTCCAAAATGGCAGAGAGCCAACTTGGAGAGGCGTACGCGCTATCTCTGTCCTTAACGTATTCGGTGGTGGCGGTCAAAGGTCAAACGTAGGACTCAGTGTTCTTCTGTTCCTGGTCTCTGTTTGCAGTTCACGACGGTCGAAGGCGCTTGAAATCCTGGAAGGTCGAGGCAAGCACACACACACACACACACACACACACACACACACACACACGCCTCATGGCTATAAATTGACCACTCTGCCGACTCCCAGTGCATTGCTCGCATGTGATGATCATCCACTCAAGTTAGATCAGGCATGGTTGCTCTGACTCACCTTAGTGTTACGCTAACTTCCTCACGTTGTTGTAGATTTATTTGTTGCCAAGTCGGCTGGGGAAAATGTCTTTTCTACAGTACTTTCATACATGCAGTATTATTAATCGCACATTTTACGGTCATTCAAAAGTACCTAAATTTGAGATCAAACACGAAAGCAAGTGAGTTCGTTTCTGTGGGTTAGTCATGTACCATACACACCTACAGTCTAAACGTATAGTTAACCTTCCTAAAGTCTATAATGCATTGTGTGTGTATACAATTAACCCGTTTATGGTGGAATTGGCTTAACGTGGTCGTTGTTTTCTTTCGCAGGTCACAACAACCCGGTTTCTATCAATAGAGACTCAAAACCTAGAAGACAAGGCACAAGAAGGAATATTATATAATATATAGAAATATCATTTCCTCCACAACCAACCAACAGCTGTTGGCAGGCATGATGGAGCTGTCAGTTCTGAGCTGGGCATTGCTGAGCCTGGTACTCCTGCTGGTGGTCTACGTCTTCTACATGTCCAGCTCACTCAGGTTGTTCCGAAAATTGGGCGTGCCGGGCCCCGCCCCCTGGCCCATCATCGGGAACTTCCACTTGGAGTTGAAACATGGAATCTCCAACTACCACCGGCAGGCCTACCAGAAGTACAAGAGCGAGAGGGTATGTTGTGTTGCGTTGTGCTGTTTTGTATTGTATTGTATTGCATTGTATTGCCTTGTGTTGTATTGTGTTGTAGTGTGCTGTGTTGTATTTTATGGTGCCGTGTTGCGTTGTGCTGTGTTGTGTTGTGTTATAAAAATCATATATGTTAGTGTTATATGTATGTTGTGTAAACATTTTAGGCTCCTGAAAATTTGTCACCTACTTTTGAGGTAAAACATTTTTGTCCCAGAAACTAGCTTCCACAATTTGCACATTAAAATTCGGTCTAAGAGGCATAATACCATGCATCTGGAGCACATCCTGTTTAAATTAAATTGTCCCTCTACCCGACCACTTTTTCCCCTATATAACAAGGCTCCTTCAATAACATGCTCATCTGTGTCTCGCCTCCCCCTCCCCACCCTCCCCCCATCCTTTCCCCTTGTAGGTCTACGGCCTGTACAGAGGAAAACAACCTTTCATGGTCATCTGCGACCTGGATGTGATCAGAGACATCTGTGTGAAGAACTTTGACCACTTTGTCAACCGGACAACGTATGAGACAGAGGAGCCTTTCTCTCACGCCTTGACTCAAGTCAAAGGTACCACCTCTGTCAATCTGTCCTCGTGGTTTTATGCACCCCGCATAATTATTAAGCAAAATCTGATCATTGTTTGCATAATTTCTGATTATTTTCCTTTATCATTCTTTGTTAAAACTGACAGAATCGCATAATTTCACATATTTTAGCTCAGTTTGCATAATTTCAGAATTTTTCTTGCGTAAGACGACGGGGACAGGTCTATGCCGTGACTCATATCAAAAATACAAATTCAATCTTTTCTGCCATTGCCTTGACTCAAGTCAACTCATTTTCTTTTTACAAATACATTCTGTCAACGCTATTGCATTCTTTTCAAGTAATTTTGAGTTCCAGCTGCTATTGTTGTTGCTGTTGCTGCTTTTGTTACTATTGTTGTTGTTGCTGGTGTTGATGTTGTTACTATTGTTGTTGATGTTGTTACTATTGTTGTTGCTGCTGTTGTTGTTGTTGCTTTTGTTGTTGTTGTTGTTACTATTGTTGTTGATGTTGTTACTATTGTTGTTGATATTGTTACTATTGTTGTTGTTGTTGTTGTGTCTGTTGTTGTTGTTG